ACATATTAGATCAAATGGATCGTAAAGGTGGAATGCAACACTGGAAAATCTTTCTATAAGACTTTTATATGCTAAATTTTGACATATCCATAGAAAACCTGTTTTCATACCTTTACGAATTGCTGGTTATTTTCAGTCTAAAAACTGAATGTAACTAGCATCATTCGATGTACCATCATTGACTCTTTATAAATGCAATAGAAAGTAAACTATAGCAACGACAATTTTCATAGTCAAAACTGGCAAAAACGTTTCAAGAATGTCAAATCAAGTCAAATTTGAACACGAAAATGACAATTGCACAAATCCAAATTTGAATGCCGCGACGACAGCTGCTACGGCAGAAGACTGAGATTAAATCTACTTGCCGTGACGTCCGATAGGGCGCCCTCTCATTTTTCCATACGGTACCTCTTTTTTTCCATTTTTGCAAAACGCGTTTATTATCAAACCATGTTGGTTTTGGAACCATATTGATTGAAAATAACACTCTAGCTTCTGATTACACGGTCTTTTACAGTCAGAAGGAATTGACACAGTTTTTTTTAAAGTGGAATATATTAGGTACCATTCGATGATAACGAGTACTGGAAGGCGTGGAATGAACATTAATTGAATTTGTCTATTAGGTTTTGATAATTTTTTGTCTGTTTGACGTGGGTGCTGGTGCCATTACTTCTTTGGTCTCTATCTTTGGCGACTGCTTCTTTAGTCTTTGTCTGGTCTCTTCTGGTGTCGCTCGTTCTTCGATTTTTCTATGGCGTTGGTGTTGTTGCTACTGGTGTTATTGCTGGTGATGTTACTGCTGGTGTTACTGCTAGTGTTACTGCTAGTGTTACTGCTAGTGTTGCTTCTGGTGTTGCTGCTGCTAGTCTGGTCTTTCTTGGTCTGCTCTCTCTGTTTTATGCTTGTTCTCTGGTCTACCCGTGGCTGTGGTAAGTGGTAAGTATCGTTTTTTCTTGTGGTTGCAATGATATAAAGCTTCTCTGGACGTTTGTATTATTGCTTTCTTTCTCGTGATAATGCATTTTATCATGGTATTTGTTTTGTTGCGTTTTTCTTTTTCTTTTGTTGGTTTTATTGCCTCCGTGGCTTCATATGAAACAACATTATTAGTCATTATGTTCTATGGCAAACTTATAATACCACTGTTGCTTTTGCAGTTGTGCGTGTTTGCGTTGCTTTACATACGACTATTACCATACATGTTGCTAATGTATGTTGTATTTTTGTTGCAACAACAACGAGCTGTTCTGAACATCTCTAACGTAGTATTTGTTCTGCTTTTTTTTTGACTCATTGCGAGTACCCCATTTTTGTCTATATACTACTATAATCCTATAGTAGTACGTTCTTTTCTTCTTTCTTTTATTCTTATTATGTTTCTTTTGAAGCATATCTTTTTTACGTTGTGTGGATGTGCCTATCCCTGAAGCTCAACAAGACTTTATCCGAGGCTAGGAGGTAGATAGGCCGCCTCCACTTGGTTATCGCTACTTACTTTAGTGATGATTGAGGGTCTCAGTGCCTGAATTTAAAGCTAGGTGGTGTAAGTAAGGCACGCTCTAGCACCTGGGGGGAATTTGATGATAGTAACAGCTATATTGCTATATAGCGGCGCTTAAAATTTTGCCTCACATCAAAACAGGGGGAAACCCTCGCAAATTTTTTTTAGGTCAGCGGAGTTTTCAAGCAATATGATTGGCTCAGAGGTCGAAGTAACGAAGGGTTACAACTAGTTGATTTCCTATTGATCTGTCAATTATCATGATTTTGTAATTGTAATAAAAGGATATCTAAATAGATACGATTTAAGTTCTTTTTATTTCAAAGATAAGATACAAGTGCAATCATTCGATCTGGCATCTATCACACAGCTTTATGCGAGGAATATTCTTTAATATTATATTCACTATGCGAGGAAAATCATATAGGTACAGTAGGACACTCGGGACTAAATCCTCCCAATGAACTATGTATGATACCTATTGTAAGATGCTAATGTGAAGTGATGACGAGCCATGGATGGATGGATTAGATGTTGGGAGACGTTGTATATTGAAAACCGTTTGGTACGATTTTTTTGGCAAAGGGTTTGAAGCGTGCTGCAAATTTCAGCAAAAGGGGGAGGGGGGGGGATTGCTTTTTCATGCCACATGTTGATGCTAGAGACTTGATGTCAGAACAATCATATGCTTACTCTGAGACGTTTGTAAACATATGAACGAATTTTCAGTCGCTACTACATTGGTTGTTAAATAATTAGGCGAGCAAAGTCTAAAGTAGCCAATATCATATAAAAAAAACACTCGGTGTTTTGACACTAGTATCGGTACAGCTGTTAATACAGCCAGGCTTTTTGTCTATTGACTAAATTTTTCTTCCCTGTGTTTGCTTTATAAAAAAAAACATTGTTTGGGCACCTGCGATGTTCTGTTGTAAAAATCGATTTTTGAACCCCCCAGATTGAAGTTTACAGTAGAGTGGCACCATTCGCTACGTATTTATACTCTGTACAAACTTACTATGTACTGAGCGCAATATTTACTATTGAACAGAATACATTTCAGCAATCGAAGTTCCAACACTTTTGGACCTTCCAATACCGAGTTTTTATACTGATGCTAGAGCTTTGGAAGTAGCATTTTCCTAAGCTATGCTAATTTTAAAACTTGCAAATTTTGAGCAGATGCTGCTAGTAAAAGTTCTTGAGTTTATATGTAAGTGCTAGGTGCAAGTGTAGTGAAAGTTGTAGAGGGGCTTTGTTTGACTATGACGGGTTTATGAGAGCGATGTCGATGAGTAATAACGTGAGATAAGTAATTGATCAATGTTCTTCAAACTGTCATTGATTCCTGCAATAAGGTTTCGGAAACACTTTTCATCATGACTATCAAAAGTAGCACATTTCTCGCTTACTAAGTAAACACTCCGAGGGAAAAAATCGATAATCTTGAAATGCATGTGCCTGAATAAATGAGCATTGCTTTCTCTCTCTTGCTTTACACACCCAACCTACACAATGAGTACAACAATATTCGAGGCAGCCGCCGAGGGCAACTTGGACTACTTGAAAAAGAACATCAAGCTTGTGAATGATAAAAATGAACGCGGCTGGACGCCTTTGCATTTTGCAGCACGTTTTGGACAATTGGAGGCAGCCAAGTTTCTCAAAGACAGTAAAGCAGACTTGTCTATTGTGAATGGAGAGGGTAAAACTGCAGCACAGGTAGCTAGCTTCTGGGGAAACGATCAAATTACAAAGCTTTTGACAGTTGTTGCATCACCTGCTCCTGGGAGCTCAGCACAAGGGCTTGCAGCAGGTTCTCCTTTTCCTGATAATTACACTGCGGTCTTTGCCGGAAATCCTCTCAACAGGTAAGGAGATGCACAACGCGAATAATTGAGAGCGAAACTGAGCATGCATCTTGCGAAATACCATTATTAGGTTCGGCTGGAATCGTGATAAGCCAGAATTTCTTGCTAGACTTGCCCGTTCACCAAAGGCAAAATACATCATCTTGAATAGATTGAAGGCATTGTATGACTCTGATGGAAATTTGCATTATGTTGGATATGATCAAGTGTCGTCTGTCGTGGATCGAGTTTATACCGAGAACGAGTTGGTCCCAAACAACACTGACATTATCTTGGTTTTCATGGGCATTGATGAGAGCCAAGGTCAAGGCGAGGATGGAGAGTTTATTTGGGCCCTTGACTTGACACCAGAAGGCGTCAACGAGGAGGAATACAGCAAATTAGTGAGAGGTTTGAGAGATTGAAGCATAAAATACTTTGGGACAATGCTAATAATGCTTTTTTTTTTTTTTTTTTTTTTTTTTTTTTTTTTTTTTTGCTACAGGTTTTGAAGCGCAGGATCTCGAGTTCTCACCTACTCTTCCACGTGCATTTGTGATGGAAAAGTCAGTTAGTGCCATCATTGCACAAGCAGCTGCTATGGGTAAAACGAAACGACGAGCCACACCTTTGCCATCACAACTAACTACTCGGTGATATAGTTGATTGGAATGCCAGAACCAAATTCTGTTCAGCCTGTGGCAAACGCACGACTTCTCAAGAAGCTGGTTATAAACGTAATTGTCCAGCGCTGGTTGGTCAAGAGAATGGGGAAAAGTGCATTAGCCACACCGGCATCCAAAACTTCGCCTATCCTAGAACAGGTAGTTTATTGCTTTGCAAGTTGGAGAGTTATTTTTAAACATGAGCATTTGCCTTGGTAGATGCTGTGGTTATTGTCTGTATCGTTCATCCCAATGGCGACAAGATTTTATTGGGTCGCCAAAAGAGATGGCCCAACAAGATGTTCTCTTGCATTTCAGGTACAATGATATACTCAAATGAGAAGCTGAAGAAGCAGTGCAGCTAAACATATATTAGGCTTTGTTGAAGCGGCGGAAACTCTCGAGGAAGCTGTACGCCGTGAGGCATTTGAAGAAACAGGCGTAATTGTTGATCGTGTGGCCTATCACAGTAGTCAGCCTTGGGTAAACAAATGCCAAGCAAAACAGTTTGACAAAACGAGTACTGATATATACTATGCATTAGCCATTCCCCAACTCGCTCATGCTTGGATTTATTGCTGAAGCTGTGTCTACGGACATCCATTTCCGTGATGATGAATTGGAAGCTGCTGAATGGTTTACTCGCTCGGAGGTGATTGCAGCCGTAAAGGGTGATAAGAGCTCTACATTTTCCATGGCACCCAAGGGATCACTTGCATCTACGCTGGTACATGCTTGGATCAATGACAAGAAGTGGCAGCAGCCTACGCCAACCACTAATGCAAAGATGTAATAAAAGTACTTGCTTTGCTCGGGGCGGGGTTACGTATCAATTTAGTATTACATGAGGGTCATCCGTGTGTGTGTGTGTGTGTGTGTTTGCTGTATTCTGGTATAAATAAAGTTTCTTCTGTTCGCGTATAGCTTAGCTTTTTCTTTTCCTTTACTTTATTTTTTTTTACAAACAAAATCAACCAAATGTCTTATCAACCTCCACCACCATCTTACGGAGCTCCTCCTCCCGCTGGTCAAAGACCTCCACAACAGCAATATCAACAACAAGGTTACCAACAACAAGGCTACGGCCAACAAGGTCAAGCACAGCAAAACTATGGTGGTAAGTAGACATTCTAGCATGGTACTTTTCGAGGTCAGGTATCTAACAAGGCGCTCGATAGCCCCTCCTCCCCCTGCTGGGCCTCCACCAGGCGTTGATCAACAGCTTTATTCATGGTTCAAAGCAGTGGGTAAGTAATTTAGGCTTTGGTTTTTAAAGCATATTTGGTAAAATCCGAAATCCGAAGAGTACTCATAATTATATCATCATGAATCTAGACACTGATGGCTCTGGTCAACTTTCTGCTGATGAACTTCAAAAGGCCTTGATTAACGGTGATTGGAGTCCTTTCAACATTGAAACTGTTCGCTTGATGGTTAACATGTTCGATACGGGTAAGTTTTTATATAGACAAGATGGCTGCCAAGAGCGATATGCTTAGACATGGTTCAATAGATAACAGTGGCACCATCAACTTTAACGAGTTTGCCGGCTTATGGAAATATATCGAGGATTGGAAGAGATGCTTCCAAGCATTTGATGCTGATCGTTCTGGCAGTATCAACCAAGCTGAAATGGGCAACGCCTTGAGATCATTTGGTTTCAATGTTTCACCCAAGTTTATAAGTACTTTGATTCAAAAGTTCGATCGTTATGGTAAAGTATCTTTCAGTAGAAGCCTTCCTCCTATATCTAACGTGCAATATTAACAGCCACCATTAAAAATACAGGAAAGGGCGATGTCTCCTTTGACAATTTCGTGCAAGCATGCGTTACAATGAAGACCTTGACCGACTCTTTCAGACAATTTGATACTGACGGTGATGGTTGGGTTCAAATCAACTATGAACAGGTAATTTTAATGCAACTTGTGTAGGTAATACGAAGCTAATATTTCTTGCAGTTCTTGGATCTGGTCGTTCGTCAACGTGCTTAATCAACATATTACCCCCATCCACTCTACTCAATCACCGTAAATAAAAATTTGAATATCTCTTAGCTAGTACAAATTGTCAGTTAGAATGACCGCAACAAAGACAGCCTCTCGAGAGAGAAGCTGTTTCCGAGTGTATTCTAGACACTGGTAGATACTCTCAATTTCTGATGTGCTGTCTACTCCATGAAGAGTGAATTGTATACCACAACGACATATTTCATTGACAGACTCCAGGTATGTAATAAAACATGAACCAAATAGAGAAAACATGAATGATGTCCAAGTTGCGTAGCATGTGAGTATAGAGGCGGGCATCAGCTTAGCAGCATAGCATGATATAGAGACCTCTAAACAAAACGAAACAGGTCCTAAAATGGTGGTTTAATGATGACAAGCCTGTGCACTCGTGAATATCTGTAAATCAAATTTGGTTGTAGCTAATTTTAACATGTTTATAAATAAGGCTCATTTGTTTTTACTTTCTTTTCCTTTTCTCTTACACTCTTTTACTATTGAAACCTGCAAGTGATATGGAAGTAGTACAAGTTCAACCGAGAGATTCTTATTTACATAATATTTACGTACCTACTAAAGGTACCGTCATACGATGGTCTTTTACGACAAAGAAGAACAACATTGCATTCGGCTTGTTTCGTCGCAAAGAAAGGGAGCCTTTGCCAAACTCATCCGAGATCGTATTCAGGGCTCAGCAGCAACTGCAAAAGCGACAGATGTCTTTTCCCTCAGACGTGGGAGCAAATAGAAACAATAGTCAAGGTAAAAAAAAGAGGGAAAAGTGGGGAACCAGATAATAGAGCGTAAATTAAATTGAACTCAAAATTTACAGAATCCACATCCACAGTAGGGGATGATGATATCGAATCCAATTACATTCATTCCTCGAATCAGTCTATCCACAGTCAAAACAACTCTTCGCATCACAGCACTAGGCCCCGCTCCAAGTCTGTGGCAACCATCAAGCTAAAAGACAGTGGCATGGATGAGATCATTCCTATACAGCATGCTCAGTCGTCTGACCAGAAGGTGGAAGGAACTTTTTGTGGTGGATGAACCAGGAAACTATGTATTGGTATTCGGTAAGCAGTGGATTGCTTGGAACATTTAGTGGAAGGCTGATGCATCCCAGACAATACCTTTTCAAGGAACACTCCAAGAAGTTGACATATTCTGTGGCGTTGGGCAATCCTGAGGATGTCAAGGTGCCCGTAAACGAGATGTCAGGCTGGCTGTTGAAAAAGAAGCGAAAGAGAATGCAGGGCTGGGCTAAACGCTGGTTTACACTGTCTCCCACAGGTGTGCTCTCCTACTCTACATCGCAAAACAGTGTCACCCGAGGCTCAATTCAGATTCTTGTATCCACCATATCCTACAATCCTAATTTGCGCCAAATCAACATTGATTCGGGTACCATGCTCTATCATCTCAAGACATTGACCGAGTCAGACTACGATTTATGGCAATCCGCATTGACCGAGACTCGTAGAAAGAATGGCGAATACGACGATTCCCCTATACCTCAAATCGAGCACAGCAAGAGCATTGTTAGTGTTGCTGCCAGCAAGCGCCATTCCAGTCGCTATGGAGAGAACAAGAAGATTAGAGCCGAGATTGAGCAGGGCCTGGAAACATCTAGTTTGCATCAACAAAATACTCTGTTTTTAGCCAAGATTATTGAGGAACTCGAGCAAGTTTTGATCAGGAATGATTTGCAGTCAATTCAGCCACTAATGGAGAAACTGGATCATCAGAAACTGCAAATGGTAGCAGACGCAAATGAGCAAATTTCTCAGTGGAAGAATGTGCAAAACTACTTTGCTTCCAG